GGGGACAGGCTGATCCTTGTGACAGTGAGGGAAGGGAGAGGAGATAACACCCACAGGATACTGGGATTACACAGAAAAAGTAATTAAGGGTTCAGCAAAGAATCAAAATTTTTGGAGATGCACAGCACTACTGATCATCCTGAGAGGGAAGGGGTAGCAAGGACACTAAATAAACAAATAATAAATTTCACAAAATATTTTATGTTGGGAGGGATCCACGAGGATCATTGAGCCAAATTCTAAAGTGAACAACCCATAGAGGGATCAAACCCACAGCCTTGGCATTACCAGCACCCTGCTCTGACCATCTGAGCCAATCCCAGTGGCAAAACGGATTATAAATTAATAACAAAACCAGTATTTCCTGCTTATAGTGGAATGTTTTGAGCAGCACACGATACAGGGCCATGCACAGAGCAGCTGGTTTGCATCTGGCCTGTGCAGGCAGTGTCAGGGCACAGATAAGGCCTTGCAGAGGCTGCTCCCTGTGGCTGAGCAAGGAGGACATCAGGATATCAGCTTATCACCCACAACATACCACGGCTTCAGAGCTGCTGCTCTGCAATTCACTGTGCTGCTGCTTCAAAAAAGAGACAAAATTCTGGGTTTCCAGTCCCCAGATAGCCTGGTAACAAGGTTCTGCACCCCAAGAACAACATGTTTTAAATAAAACAAAAAAGCATAAAAATCTGCCTGCAGAGCACATTGGTTTTAGGTGATACACTGAGACAAGACCACTGTTCACCCAAATTTGGTGTGATTCCTGAAGAAAAATGGTTTCACTTAGACTGAAACAGAAAATGAACAGCTTAATTCATACAGCTCAAAAGGTCACAGATTATAGCTACAGTAACATTGATTTATGCCATATGCAAACAACAGGGAACAACAGTTAAAACTTATTGACACGAGGAAAATAAAAATGGAAACTAAACAAACACATGAATGAGGAGAGAGAATCACTCACATGCTTGTTAATGATCTAGAAAAACAAGGAAGCATCATGCTAAATAAATCAGCACACAACACAAAATAGGTATTCTAAGTCTGAAAGCTTATTTGAAGATAGGAGCTTCTTAAAATGAAAACTGAGATGAAATTCTGGAATAACACCATTGTTCCATTCTTCTTGAGCTTTAGTAAATATAAAGTATTTTAACAGTTTCCCACATATTCTGCAGTGGCATTAGACACAGTTTAACAGTCAGGTTGCTTTAGCTCACTGATCCAAAAGTTAATAACTATTCAACCCAAAGTTTTGACCTCCATTGTTCACGAGTTCAACACCTGATTGTATCTGCAGTGCAATCACATATTTAACAGCACTGATACTGAAGCCATGAAACTGCCCTCTTTAAAATACTCCAATTAATTCCATTAATCATGAAAGACCCAGAAATAACTTCAGAAAAAGCTCAGCAGAACAACAGCGTGAAAACACCACCCTCAAGAAACCAGTTGGAAGAAATGAAACACAGCAGTGTTTGGTTCTTCAAAACAGAGAATGGATGGGGTTCTAACAATTCTGGTTATTTTCAGGATGCTGTTTTTCCTCCTCACACCATTCAGTGCTCTGCTATTTTTGTTACGATTCCATTTTTGCCATTATGGTGCAAACCTCAGCAGCACTGGAATGGCCACCAGTTCTGGGTGTTTGGATAGCTGGGTGTCTTAAATATAAACTGCTAGAAACCCACACAAAGTCAATTAACTGGGTCTCTAATGAGCTCAATAAATACTATTTAGTTGGCCATACTTGGTGTGTGAAGACACAGAGCATGTCCCAGCTCTCAACACAACCCTGATGACCAGAACACAGAAAGAATTGTTTCTAGTGAGTTCTGCCAAAATTGCATTTTCCCATCATAAATAGGATGCCACAGAACCACTGCTGCTCTGAACTAAGCAGGACCAACATCCTCTGCACAGTTAATGCTGACAGACAAGTCTGCTGCCCCACAGCCAAACAAACTGCAAAAATTCAGCTTTTTGGAGGGTTCATGGCTACACCAAAAATCCAGAAGGAGTATTACAACATGAAGGAATTATCCACCCAGTCTATGTCATTCATCTCCTGCACAAAACTTCCACTCCTCCCACAAGAGGGGTGTTTTTAGAACTAAAAAGTAACACATTTTTATTTTAAAACCTTCCCTGCACTGCAGCATCAGTGGAAAATCTTGTCTGGAACAGCATATGAACAATGGACACACTTTATTTTTTCCAATTTTCCAGCTAAATATTAAAATCTTAGAAGTAGAAATGTACTGAAGGAGGAAGAGTTGTCTCAGAGACTTTACAAGAAATAAATTTATTTTTCTGTGTTTTAGATGAAATGCTATCTTGGTTAATAAGCACACTGCAGGATGTGGTGTCTGTGCTCAGTCCCACTCGAAGAGAGAAGTCTCATCAATCAAGTTCTCAGAGAATCCTGCTAAGCTCCAAATTAGGATGTGATTTAAAACCCAGCATTTTAAGCACAGAAAATTCACTTACATTGACCAAGCCAAAGTAATGCTCATTCACAGGGAACTGCTCAGGACCAATCTCTTTCTCCAAAGCAGAGGCATTGGCGCCCTAAAAAAAACCAATATTTATGTTAGAGAAAACAGAAATTTCCTAAAAAAACCCAAAGCTTAGGAAATAATTCACTTCCATTGAAAATCAGTATTTTGTGTTTGCTGTGTTCTTCAGAATTAAATGAATATGATGCTTTATTATCATAAATGTACCAAGGTCTCATTTAAAATCTCAACTCCCTCAGCCAAAATTAGTAATCTGATCTAACAGAAGGGTTTTCTACATTTGAGTTTATTATGAATTACCACAATCAGCTGCTCTCACTTAAAACACCAGGTTGGCCACAGTGATCTTGAAACAGCAACTGAATTTAGTCAAGAATGCACTGTAAAAATAAAGAATCTAATCCTGCATTCTTCTAGCTTTATTTTGCAAAATACTGTGGACAAGTGAAGTTTTTAATTACAAACCCCCAGAAGAATGGAAGGAAGAGTTTGATCACATCTCAGATCACCTAAAGTGCTTTGGCTTTTCATTTCAGGGGAGGTATGAAGCTCACAGTGCATTTTGACATGTCCTTGAGTTTCCAGCAGTACAATGGGGATGGAATTTGCTCTTTTAGACACAACTGAAAACTACCACTGCTCTGATTTGGCACATAAAGCAACAACTAAAGCATTCCAATGGTTTATTTTGAATTTCAACTTGGGCCACTTCATATTCGAAGTGGTTTCTTCATCTCTTTCCATTTTCAACCCACCAACACCTTATGGATGGGAATATCTTGGGGTTTGGTACCTTCCCTCATTCCTCTCCACCTTGTTCTTTAATGCTTCTTGCTGATGCCCCACAATTCCTGAGCTCCTTTGTGCAGAATCCAAACACTTTGGATTCCAAATTCTGTTTTAAATGCCCAAGTGACTCCAAGTTCAACCTTGCCCACACAGAAATCCTCCTGCACAGGTGAGCCACCTTCAGACACCTCAGAAAAGCATTCAACCAAACATTACAGACCAGCAAAGCTCAATTAATTTATTCCCTTGAAGCAACCAATGACTTTTAATCACTGAGCTAACATTTCCATCACTTCCCTATTAATTAGAGACTGTAAGGACAGTTCCATCCAGATTGTCTTTAACAGAGAAATAACTAAAAATTTCCTAAAAAAACAGGAAAGAAACCAAGAAATAATCTGGTTTAACAGTTGTAGTTGGATGTCCCCCATCAGATTTACAGTGAGTTACATTTCTCAAAGCAGATAAAATGAGGCAGGCTCAGAACTGGGTACTCCAAACCCCACAAAAAATTCACAGGGTGCTGACAGATTTACAAGCAGAGCTCTGCTCAAGCAGCAATTACACACAACATTTCTGAGACATCAGTGCCAGTTCAGGCAGCTCCTTTCATTTGTTTCCTTGCAGCCATCCCCTGCTCCCAAGGAGCTCTTTTTCCTCCAAAATCTCCCCCAAAAAACCCAAACCAAACCTAAAAAAAGGAGAACTATCAGCAAGGAGGATTTGCTGACAGGGGTCTCTCCTGGGCTACCTCAGCTCTCCACTTCCACTGCTCTGACCCACACTGCCTTTGAGAAATGTTGTAACTGGAGATGAGCATCAAAATTCAGAAATGCACAAGAGGGAAAAATTCTGGAATTTTCAGCCTGGAAATCAGAACTGGCTCCTGCTGAGGTTGTTTTGCTCTTCCATGCTGCATGTTTGGAGATTAGGAAAGGAGAATTTGTAAATCCTGTCAGCCTGTGAAGTGCAGTTTCAATTTCTCTGGAGTTTCCTTGCCCCCTCCATGATCTCCAGTATTTTATCAGGCAAACACTGGAGAAAAGCTCATTAAAGGAGGTACCAAACCTCACAGAACCAGTGACACCTGTCACACCAGTGACAGCCCAAATGCTCCAGCTGGAAAGCAACACATGGAATAAATACCTGAACAAATAAATAAAACCATATGAATTGTAATTTTTAATAAAGCTGTGATATAAAGAATTGAATAACCTACCATAAACCAGGCTTGTCAGCCAAGCCACCAACTTGTATCCATTTAACCTGACAGGTCACAGGTGAGTTTTTTCCAAAGTGTTTCCTTGTATTTATTGCCCAAACTTTATACATTTGGGTAAATTAACTGCAGAGGCAGATTAAAAAAATAAGGTTTCCTTAATAAATTAGATTATATTTAATGTATTATTTATAACTAAAGTTTTAGATGCCTCATCCCTGGGAGTGTTCAAGGCCAGGCTGGAGCAACCTGGGATAGTGGAAGGTGCCCCTGCCCATGGAATGGAATGAGCTTTGAGGTCCCTTCCAGCCCAGATCACTCTGGGATTCTGTGAAGTTTCTTGCCAGATAATATATTAAATACATAAAATGATAAAAAAACCCAAAACAGGACTCAAAGCACTTGTGGGAGGAATTAAAAAAAAAAAAAAATCACAGATTAATCATAAATAGTTCTGAAGGTGCAAACTTACAAATTAATAGTGAAAAAGCTCCAGGAAATGCAATGCCCAGCATTCCATGGAAAAAGAATTCCCTTGCAGAAGCCCAGATGATTCACCACAGAGTCAGTGTCCAGGAGAACTGCACTAAACAAGGATATGGTGGGGGAGAAATCCACTTTATGGTGAGGCCACCACTTGGCCTCAGTCACATTTTGGGGTAAGGTCCAGAACTGCAAAGTCCAGCTCCTCCCAACAGGGATCTTTGCAACTCAATTACCAATTAGCCAATTAACCCAGTGCAGCTGCAATCTGGTCCAGCCTGAGCCACGTCCTGCTGCAATGAGGCTTTGCTGTCACACTGACAGGGTTCACACACCTTTGCCCACCCCAGCTAAAAGACTTTTCCATCTGCCACAGACCACAGCAATATTTCCTCACAAGAAACAATCCACACTTCATCATTTTGGAAATATAAAAGTCACATCTTGTCTAGAGTTAAAAATCTAACCAAAGTGGCAAGTGCACATACTATGAAAATTTATTTTATTATTTGGGGAATTAAGAAATGCACCTCTTTGGGGTGCCAGAGCCAAAATGTTTGGCATCTTGTGGTACTTTGGACACCTAAAACCAACAGAAAATCAATACAGCTTTGCTAAACTATGTGACACATAGTGGGAGCAACAAGAAATGCCATGAAAAAATCCCACATCCATAGCAATCGAGTTTGCTTGGCATAAGACAGCTAAGCAAAAACACTAAAAACTAAAATACAGCTGAATGTAAAACTTAATGACTTCTCACTGCTAGTGTAAAGGAAATAAATGAATGTTTTAACAGCCCCAGAGTACATCCTTGGCTTTTGGGAGGTGCAAGGAAATGCTCTCTTTGCTGCTCTGCTTCAGGACCATCAAACTCAGTGCTGTGAGCAGGAATAAACCCAGATTTCTACAATGCACAATTACCCTAAGAGAAAAACCTCCCCTCATTTAACCACGTGGTGACAGTGATTGACTTATATAATGAGATGTGAATTTAGTGTCTCACAGAGGTGGGGGAGGTGACAACAGAATTTTCAGCACTTATAAGCAGAGTTTTCCATTTTCTGGAAATTCCTGGGACTTCAGGTGTTGTCTCAGAGCTCCCCTTTTCTGCTCACACCCCACCCACAGACCTGGCTGTGCTTCCACAGTTCTGGAATTATCAGTCAAACAGGAAAATGAAAAACTGCCTGGCCCATCTCAGCTATCACCACCTCAGCAGGAATGCACACAGCTAAGAATGGCCAAGAAAACCCCCAAAGAACAACAATAAAATATTTCCTGTCAACAGCTGCAGTCATTTTACTTTATGCATATCAGCTAATTAAAAGAAGGGCCTACCCAAGAACATGTCTGGAAAGACAAAGAACACCCTTAAAAAAACTTAATATATCAAATATTAAAGTATCAAACAACAGCACAGGGAATTGTTAATATTCAAGTTTTCCTCACTTTTTCATACCAACACAGTGAGGGGCATCACAATAATATCTTGATTTAAAAGTGTAAGAAAAGGCAGGATGTGGCACTCAGTGCTCCAGGCTGGTGACAAGGTGGGGATTGGCATGGTGGACTCGATGATCCTGGAGGTCTTTCCCAACCTAAAGGATTCTGGGATTCTATTCCATGCTCAGAGCTGAATGAGATGTAGAGAAAATAGCATTGGGGTAAACGAATATTTACCCAGAGAACACACAAGGCAAGTTTTGTTGGATTTTTTAAAGAAAAGGGATGTGAAAAGAGCAGTTTGAAACCCCCTTACCTGAGGGAGCTGTCTAAGCAAGCTGAGGCAGTGATCCCACAGTACTCCTGCAATTTTAACTGAATAACCCATCAGAACCAGAAGAGAGATCTATCAACTCCTCCAGATTGTAAACTCTGAGTAATTTTTGCTCACTACAGAAGTCTTAAATTTATCTCCAGTTCAATGCACCATGAAAGTAGAATAAATAGCAGTAAACTTTTGTTTCTCACCCAGAAAAAAAAAAAAACAGCACCAAAAGAAGATCAGAAAAAAAAAAAAAAGCATTATTGCCTCTTCGTAGCAAAAAAAAAAAAAGAAANAAAAAAAATCCTATTCCTGCAAAGAAAATGAGTATTTTGCATAGCCTAGATTTAATTGATTTCAGAAACTGGAAATGTATCAATTTTCCAGGGGCTTCAATACTTGGTGACCTTAAACTTACTGAATTTGTAATTATTTTTACAGACAAAAGCTCATAGATTGCATTCACTTATCTGACAGAAATCAGAGGAGTGCTCAGCTCTGTCTGTATTACATTTAATTAGCTTTATGGCAGAAATTACAATTGGACTCTGAGTTGAAGAGTTTTGGTGAAGCTGTGGATGAATAAAAGCTGGGAGTGATTATGAACAACCTCACAGCTCAGAACAGGAGCTGCTGTCAGCTGAGAATTCCACATTTCCAGCATCCTCCTGGTTCCTGCTTCAAGTTACAACCTCTTTCCTTTTCAGCAAAATGAGTTTTACTGAGTTTCAGTGAAATCCTGAACAACCACAAGCCTTGGCTGACAATTAGAGGACTGTTAATACAGACTACC